GCTTTGACAATTAACAGCTCAGGGTATCCCTACAGAGAAGACAGACAGATGACCCTGGATTCAAAGTTTCCGGCCTTGTGAAGGAAAAGATGAAGGACATCGCATTTCTGTAATATATGTGGCTCTATGTTTCTCCTTGGTAGGGTTTACTAAAAACCAGTGTATAAAAATCTATGAAAGAATTTGAAAATTATGACTGTTCACTTCTGATCATCTGTCCCATAAAGTTCAGGGCCAGGAGATAATCTATTCAGTCTGAGATTACAAAATGAAGCTACTGATATAATCTGCAAAAATCAGACGTCATTGTCATTTGACAAATAAGCAAAGCAATATTCTAGTGAATGATTAGTGTCAAGCAGCAGAAAAAATTTAAAAATTATTATTTTGATAAGAGAATATCTGGTTGACCCATGAAACAGTAGAGAGATCTGACATTAAACACTTATCTGAAAAACTAAGAAGCTTATTGCATATGTGATAGGCAGGATAATTTTTTCTTATAGTAGAATAATGTAAAGATCAGATGGGGGAATAACATATTAAGAAAGAAAAAAATGTCTCGTTAAATGGGTAATCTACTTATAGAAGACTAGAGGCCTGGTGCATGGATTCGTGCACATTAAAGTAAATTAATTAGAAGGTGGCAGGTGGGGTAGGACTGGATGCGATCTGCCAGATACACCCTGGAGCCAACCTCCAGCAGTCCTCCCCTGGCCGGCTGCACCTGGGGCAGCGCTGGGGCTCGAAGGGCATCTGCAGAGTAAGCAGAGTCCCTCCAGCAGGTGGGGTCCCTCAGCCTGCTCTGTGGAGATCAGGCCAAAACCAGCAGTCTGATATTCTCGGAGGGGTCCTGGAGTGTGAGAGGGCACCCTGCAAAGTTGTTGTCACTTGGAAGCTTCTGTTTTGAGCGTCTGCCCCCTAGTGGTCAGTGCAAGTCATAGCTACTGGCTGGTTGCTTAGGCTTTTATACATATAGATAAGTAGGTGTGGAAAAAGTTATGGCAAGAGTGAGAGAAAAATGTGTAAAACATCTTAAAAGACTGAGAAGAAGTGACATATAATTTTTCAAACAAATGTGGGTGAGAAATTAGTATTCACCTTTTCAAGGGACAGGACTATGAATAAAGACAGAAATGTATAGGTACATATATTTTGATGTAATTTTAAGGAAAAATTGCTAATGATGGTCAGTATCTAATAATGAATAGCTTATAGGAGGCATTAAGTTCTCCATCCTTAGCATGTTCTAGCAAAGGTGAGAGACTACTTCCTACTTTTCTGTGGGATTCTGATGTCCCAAAAAAGAGCTGGAACAAGATAATATCTAAAATAGAAACTTCATTTCTGAGATGTATCAAGTACATAAGGAAAAAATGTACCCAATAACTATGGTATAATTCAGCTATTTCAGTACAGAAACTGGAAGGGTTATTGCTAAGAGTCTAAAAAAGAGGAGTTCTAAGCACTGTGATTTCATTGCTTTCACTGAAGGGCAGATGTTTTGAGACTTTCTGAAGTGCGGTGATCCAGCCACAAAAGTCTAAAGAAATGAAAGGAGATTTATTTCAGATCAGTTTACTTTACAGAAATATGAATGAATAACATAGGGAGGATTTTTCCTAAGAAGTGGTACAAATTACTTTAGAAAAAAGAATAGCTATTTAGAGAGAACTATAGAGTGTGGTTCAGGTGGTAAATCACAGAATCTAAATTATTCACATTTCTTTTGGGGAAGGAGAGTAGAAGATGAGGAATATAAAAAGACATGAATGTAGGTTAGTACAGGGAAGAGGAGGTGGAAAGAAATGACAGAGGGAGAGCATTAATACATATTTTTGGGGTGAAACAAGATAATTGGTCTTTTGGGATAGCTCCCATGATTATTTTCTTTATTCTCTCCCTCGTGGTAATTTTTCTTTCAGAATATTATAAAATGAATCATTTTCTTTCATTTCCAAATTCAGCCTGACAGTTGCCTTGGAAGTAATAATTAGGTTTTCCTTACGTAAGAGAGGAGGGGCCTATTATTGTTGAAGGTTCATTTTTTTAAAAAGCTATTCTTTAAAAAACTTAATCAGTTAAGGATTATGTCACAGCTATTTTTGAAATCATTGTATCTACAATGAATATTGAGAAAATTATGATAAGATAATAGCATGCTGCCTGGAAAATCCTTTGACAGAATTATTTAGACTTCAAGTTTTTATAAGAATTTGAAAAGAAAGCTAGAAATTTAAACGGAACCCTAAGAAATCAGCACACAACATCTAGAATGATATTTCAATAGCAGTGGTTAAAGAAATACCAGAAGAGTTGTCTACAACCAAACTCTTATAGAAGAATGATGAGTCCTGGGTCACATCATAACCATCTATGGCAGTCATTACTTTAGAATGACACTGTCCTCTTCATTTCAATTTAGCACTATGTAGGAGATGGATTTCTCAGTTTATTTCATTCCCAAGTCAACAAACAATAAAGTTTATATTCTTGAAATGAATTTATTAGGGCCTACATCCCCAAAACACTGTTCTGGTTCAAAAGACACAACTTCATAAGAACCAGCTCTTACATGAAAGGCAACAAAACAAAGCAAACAAACGAGAAAATTCAGAAAGTCTTAAGAATAAAAATGGTAGTTCTATTATTAAGTATAGTGCCTATATTATATATTTAAAATGTACTTAGGTTAGATCTTATGTTAAGTGTTCTTAGCACATATATACACAAATAATAATTATTATATTAATAAGAATAGTAATAACAGTAATAACAATAACAATTACAGGGGTAGAGAAAACTTTGGGAGGTAATGGATATATGTATAGCCTTAATGATGGTGGTATTTTCATGAGTGTATACTTATCCCTAAACTCATGGAGTGTGTTCATAAAATGTGTACAGTTTTTACATGCCAACCATACCTCAATAAAGTGGTTTTTAAAAAAGAAAATAAAATGATACTAACTTCAGGTAGTAAAAAAGCCAAAAACTCGTAGCTGAAACTTTGACTAAAGTCATTAATGCTACTTTTGTTTTTTAATTTTTTTTTCCCATATGTTTTTCCTGCCAGAGTTGCTTTCTGAGTACTGGCTATTGCTGGGAAATCAAAGGTGTGCAATATAGTACTTGTTAAACAAAGGAATTAATGAAATGACTGAATGATAACTAAAGGAAGGAAAGAACTGACTGACAAATTCTAGGAAACAAATGCAAAGACCATACTTAGTGGTTTTAAGCATGGATGCAAGCCAGACTGACTGGATTTGAAACCCAGTTCTGCCCATTGTTAACTATATGACCAGTTAGCAAGTAAGTCTCTCTATACCTCCATTTCCTTTTGCTTATATAAAATAAGCCATTCAAAAAGCACTGTTAAAAGTACATGGTAAATAGTTAAAGCCAAATAAATATCAAGAATACTATAGGCCTGGCTGGTGTGGTTCAGTTGGTTGGAGCATCATCCTGTACACCAAAGGTTGTGGTTTTGATTTTTGGTCAGGGCATATACACAGGTTTCATGTTCAGTCCTGGTTGGGGCATGTGTGGGAGGCAATCAATCTCCCCCCCCTCCCCACTTTCCCTTCTTCTCTACAAAATCAATAATAAAGTTTAAAATAGAATATTATAAAGGTCTTATCTAAATAATTCAATACAAAAGTCACTGACAACTATGAAATTAGAGTGAGACTAAAGACAAGCTGTATAGAACACTGAAGTGGGCACAATGAACTTTGGAGTTCAACCTACAAACTTGCACCTGTCTTAGAATTTACTATTCTGAGGAGACTGTCTATATTGGTCCTTCCCAAACACTTCTCACAAAAGTGTTGGAGATAATGGTTCCTTATAGACATATATTAGAGGCTCTATTGTCTAAGGGCAGACATAATACTACATATACTTATCTCACTTGAGAGCTATCTTCTATTAATTTTCAGTATTTGATGATTATCATATAGATTTGATATAAAAGAGTCAATGGACATGAAGTAGTTTTATTAAGTGAAATCTCAACTGCTTCACTGCTTATCATTGTCTGATGTTGCCTTAGTTTAGCATATCACCCCAAGGCTTAGAAGGGTGGCCATGTGTTGGTATCAATCATTTGCAGGGCTCCTGAAGCATGTGGGCAGCTGGCAAATATAATAGCTGTACCGCTGTCTGAGGGGAGAGGAGGAAGGGATCCATTCACACATGTGAATTCTTGGAAGGTAGGGACTGAGTCTACACTGATTGAACAATGGACCACAGAGAGATATAATAATGTATTTATCAGTACACCAGGCAGTTCCCTTTGTTATGCAAAGCCTAACTCTCTAGTAGTTCTGCTTTAGCAGCCTCCCTTCTAATAGGAGATGGATTGTGTTGGAAAAACAACCTAAAATCTCTGTGTCTTGCCTATCTATGAAAACTGGTGATACTTTAGATTTCTGTTTTTAAAATGTCAACAAGTCAGATACAATTATATGTGTACTTTTGAGATCACTTACCACAAAATATGCTCTCCCTTCTTTTCTATTTCTGCCCGTGATCACTGCTCTGGAGTGGATTGTGTCCCTTCCCTGCAAATTCATATGTTGAAGTTCTGACTGCTAATATCACTGTATTTGGAGATAGGGTGTTTATGAGGTAATCAAGGTTATTAATTAAATGAGTTAAGGGTAGAGCTGTATTCTGGTGGGACTGGTGGTCTAGGAAGACGAGAAAGAGAAACAGAGAGGTCTTCTCTCAGCACAAGCATCAAGAAAGGCCATGTGAGGACACGCAGAGAAGAGAGATGTCTGCAAGCCAGGAAAAGAGACCTCACCAGACACTGAATGGGCCAGAATCTTGATCTTGAACTTCCCAGCTTTAAGAACTATGAGATTATATATTTGTTGTTTAAGCCGCTTAGTCTATGGTATTTTGTTATGACAGCCTGAACCAACCAACATTCCTACACTGGGAAAGGAGCTTTATAAATATGCACATAGTTTTGCTTGAGTCACACTCACCATGAGTAGTCTGTCTCCTACTTGCAACCTCCCATCCTTTTGTGCAGCTCCTCCATCTATGATTTTAGTTACATAAATGCTGTTGTCTCCAGGAATGTGCTGGTTCCCCACACCTCCTGCAATACTGAAGCCTAAACCTATGGGGGAAGAAACAGAGAAAGAAAAGCTTTTTTTTTTTTTTTTTTAAGAAAATGCAATTAGCACATTTCAATAGTCTAAAAACTTTAATCCTCAATTTATTATAACAGAGATAAATAACAGCAAGGGTTCTACTTCGGTTGATTTGTTCTTCTTTAAATAGTTGAAGACTTGTTGATTAACGCCAATGAGTTGAGCCAAAGCTCTTGAAGTCAATCCCTGTGGCCCTTAGTTTTGTTCTACTTTATGATTGTACATTTCTTTGTTGTTCCCTAGCTCACTAATCAGCTCCTACCGGGTGACTGGACAAAATAGGGAGCAGGCAAAAGTGTGAAAGGATCCTACGTGAGCCAGGCAAAACAAGTACAGTTCTGCTCACGTTGAGTCTGTGGGTTCATCTTCATTGTTGCTGTTACTGTGGCATAGAGAATTATTTGGGTGCAGACCTAGATACTCTTGACATTTCAGGATGAAAAGTACAACTGTTAGAAAATTCCCCAAATTAGAGACAAGAGACACTGGGCATTTAAGTAGTAATTTCAGAGAGAAGATAAGGAAAAGAAGCTAGATGCTTGCCATTTTCTTCTCTGGCCACCTTGTCATATCTTCACATTTCATGGCACTTACTGTTATTAAGTAATAGTGAGGCTAGTCACACACACAAAATAAATGATCGCCATATACATTCTTAAGAATAAAGAAACAGACAATATTCTCTATCACTCTTATAACCTACCACAGGATATCAAATTACTTTAAATATGAAAGTTTTCTACACTGAGAGATAATTTTTACTGTGCTATGGCTTACAAAATTTTTATTTACATATACCTATGGAACGATAAAAAGAATAGTTATTAAAATATTATGAGGTCATTTAAAAATAATGACTTACAGAATCTTTAAAAGTATAAAAATATCCTTTTCAGAATATGATTGAATATACATTCAGTATAATACTTATAGCATAAATTTTTATTGCATTTTAAAATTATAATGATAATTAACATGCATATTACTCAGGAAGATACATATCAAGTGATTTTTTTAGTAAAAACAGAAAATTTCTGTAACTTACTTGGTGTAAGACTTTTTTTTAAAAAAAACCACACACACCTAGTAACCTAATTTAAAAAACTAGAACACCTGTTTTATCATTTAAAAAAACCCCAAAACCCTACCTGGCACTTTATACAAAAATAATAAAAAACACTTTTAAAAATACTCCATTTCACTATGCTTTTATTAAATATTAAGTAGAACTATGTGCTCTTACGATGATTAGTTAATGGAGAAATAGTGGCATAGCAAATTATAAAGTAACACCTCTGAAATTATATTTGGAATAAAATGACTTTTGCTAAATTAAATATAATAGTTGTTAATATAAATGGAAAATGGATTTAAGTTGATAGAGCAATTAAAATTGGTGTTAACTAATTTCCTACTAAAGTGGGTAATTATTCTTTATTGATGCTCTGACTTCCACAGATCTATACACTTATCTGTTTGCCTCAGATTAAAAAAAAAAATTGTTTAACAAGCAAATGATGATGTAGAATAAATAAAATGCACCTGTTTGGCTTTTCCTTTGAAATTCAAAACACATATCCGCTCTTGTTTTCTAACCCTGTTCCTTTGTATTTATATATGATTACAGGGTGCTTAAGAATATAGTTACAAAAGTTTCATAGCCACATGCTAGCATCAATCTACTGCACTTAGAGTACTACAGCCGTCATTCCATGCTGTAGAAAGAAAAGGTTAAAATAAATCCAGGGACTCTGATTCACTATGTCAACAGTAAATGCCACAGACAATCTAGGTTACAGAAGAGCTGAGGAAACAAATCACCACTTTAAACAAGTTTAAATCCAACAAAGGCAATAATTATGTAGTTGACATTTGAAGTTAAAGTTTGTACCAGCACAATGAAATCACTATGGATACTCTAGACAAAATTATATCACTAAAAAGTTAATAACTTTTTTTTTCTGAGATTAGGTTTAAATACATTTTAACTGGTCACTCTGCTCAAGGTGAAGAAAATATTTTTAGTAGGAGCCAGAGAATATCTCTGAAGCTACTAAAAAAACTTCTCTGATTTCTCTTACTTTGACGAAAAAATGAATACATTTAAAGAGAATTAATATTTAATCAGCACTCAACCATATTCCAGATACTTAATTCAACATAAGTAAATGTGGAGCTTTCTTCTACATCCAGAATACAAGTTTATTTAGAGGTGGGAATATCCATTTGTGTCATAAGATTCAATCTGCCTCCATTCATTCATTCATTCATTCATTCATTCACTAACTCACTCATATATCTATCTATTCATTCATCAAACACACCTGAGTACATGCTATGCATTGTTGCTTTTGACTGTGGTCAACATAAATGAATGGATAAACTAGAAACACTATAGAAATAATGATTCATCAGTGGGTCCATATGAGTGAGTGGGCTGAACCTGGCTGAAGGAATGTTCTAAACTCAGAGGATGCCAGTGACTTTTGGAGGACTATTCTATGAAGACAAATGTGGGCTAGGACTACTGAGCAAAAAGACCATCCAAATAATCAGTTTGGAGGCACTGGGAGTTCCTTGCATACATTCTGGAGAAGCAGGGGCAGGCTTTAAAGGATCCATTAAAGGATCATTCTCTCCCCTTATTAGCTAATATTTCCCTCCTTCATTCCTCTCTAGACACTCACAGACTTAATAATTCTAGAACACACCGGACACACTTCTACCTTAGGGCATTTATCTTGCTGTTCCTTTTGCCTGGAATACGCTTTCTTCAGAGCTTTGTACAAATTTCAACTTTTCTAGGAGCTTGAACCTGACCTACTTATTTAATACTATCCCCCAACCATGCACCCCAATTCCTTCTTTTGCTCTACTTTTCATTTTACCTTGGCATTTGTTACCTTGTAATATACTACACAAGCCATATATGTATTTTATGTTATTTATTTTTTGTCTGTCTCCTTGGTAAAAATATAAACTTCATGATGACAGGAATTTTTGTCTGTTTTATGCTATGCAATAGAACAAGCCCAGTTATATATGGTAGTGCCCCTTATTTGTGGTTTTGCTTTTCATGGTTTCAGTCATCCATGGTCAGTCACCATCTGAAATCTTAAAAATTTCAGAAATAAACAATTCATAAGTTTTATATTGTGTACCATTTTGAATAGCATGATGAAATCTTTCACTGTCCCACTCTGTCCCACCTGGGACATGAATCATCCCTTTTCTAGTGTAGCCATACTGTGTGTACAGTACAAAGAGATATTTTGAGAGACATCACATTCACATAAGTTTTTTTATTTTTTTTTAATTTTTATTGATTTCAGAGAAGAAAGGAGAGGGAAAGAGAGATAGAAACATCAATGATGAAAGAGAATCATTGATCCGCTGTCTCCTGCCCGCCCCCTACTGGGGATGTGCCCTTGACTGGAATCCAACCTGGGACCCTTCAGTTCACAGGCGAACGCTCTATCCACTGAGCCAAACCGGTCAGGGCTCACTTTATTTTCTTTTTTTTTTTCTTTTTTTTTTTTAAATTAAATCTTTATTGTTCAGATTATTACATTTGTTCCTCTTTTTTTCCCCCCCATAACTCCCCTCCTCCCAGTTCCTGACCCACCCTCCGCCCTCACTCCCCACCCACTGTCCTCATCCATAGGTGCACGATTTTTGTCCAGTCTCTTCCCGCATCTCCCACACCCCTTTCCCCCCCAAGAATAGTCAGTCCATTCCCTTTCTATGTCCCTGATTCTATTATAATCACCAGTTCATTCTGTTCATCAGATTATTTATTCACTTGATTCTTAGATTCACTTGTTGATAGATGCATATTTGTTGTTCATAATTTGTATCTTTACCTTTTTCTTCCTCTTCCTCTTCTTAAAGGATACCTTTCAGCATTTCATATAATCCTGGTTTGGTGGTGATGAACTCCTTTAGCTTTTCCTTATCTGTGAAGCTCTTTATCTGACCTTCAATTCTGAATGATAGCTTTGCTGGATAAAGTAATCTTGGTTGTAGGTTCTTGGTATTCATCACTTTGAATATTTCTTGCCACTCCCTTCTGGCCTGCAAAGTTTCTGTTGAGAAATCAGCTGACAGTCGTATGGGTATTCCCTTGTAGGTAACTGAGTTTCTTTCTCTTGCTGTTTTTAAGATTCTCTCTTTATCTTTTGCTCTTGGCATTTTAATTATGATGTGTCTTGGTGTGGTCCTCTTTGGATTCCTTTTGTTTGGGGTTCTCCGCGCTTCTTGGACCTGTAAGTCCATTTCTTTCACCAGGTGGGGGAAGTTTTCTGTCATTATTTCTTCAAATAGGTTTTCAATATCTTGCTCTCTCTCATCTTCTGGCACCCCTATAATTCTGATGTTGGTACGCTTGAAGCTGTCCCAGAGGCTCCTTACACTATCCTCGCATTTTTGGATTCTTTTTTCATTTTGCTTTTCCGGTTGGGTGTTTTTTGCTTCCTCGCATTTCAAATCATTGACTTGATTCTTGCGCTCCTCTGGTCTGCTGTCAGGAGTCTGTATAATATTCGTTATTTCAGTCCGTGTATGCTTAATTTCTAGTTGGTTCCCCAATATAAGATCGAGGGTCTCATTAGTTTTCTTGTAGATCTCATTAAGTTTATCGGCGGCTTCTAAACAGTTCTTGAGAGACCTTAAAAGTGTGGTTCTGAACTCTATATCTTCCATTGACAATTTTGTCCTGTTTCTTTGTCTCCGCATTTTGTTATGCTTCCTTGGTGCACCCCCTAGTGGTCTTTGTTCGAAGTCTTATAGTTAAATCTTGATTGTTGTAGCTAATTCCAGGGAGGGTTTGACCTCCAGGCCAAGTGGCTATGAGAATCAGCTGTGTCAGCAGTGAGAGAACTTCTGTCCTCTAGGGAGGTGCTAATCTGGCGTTTGCCTGAGGCTATCTGGCAAATGCCTGTGTGCAGGGCTTGGGTGGGGCAGGTCG